TGTACTATGACACTGCCAAGGAAGGAGATGTGGAATGCAGTAAAGGAAACCTACTCAAATGTGAACAATACCTCTGCAGTATTTGAGATCAAGAGCATACACCATGAACTGCGACAAGGTGATTTCTCGGTCACTGAGTATTTTAATACACTCAGTCGACATTTACCACAACTAGACATATATGAAGACGCTCAATGGAGTTGTGTCGAGGATAAAAAGAAGTATAAAGAATTGGTGGAGAAAGAAAAGATCTACAAGTTCCTATTGGGGTTGAACACATAACTTGATCAAGTCCGAGGGAGAATCCTTGGAATCAAACCTCTTAAAACAATCCGGGAAGTATTTTCAAAAGTGAGAAGGGAGAAGAGTAGGAGAAAAGTAATGCTTGGAAAGTCAAGTGCAGCCCCACCCATTGAAGGCACAATAATGGCAGTAAGGGGGAATCAATCTCGTCCATCTAAAAAGAAAAATCAATCATGGTGCAATCACTACAAGAAATTGGGACACACTAAGGACACCTACTGGATTATTCATGACAAGCCTTCAGAGGAAAAATAGACAAAAAACCTGGACAACAAAGACAACCTATTTTGGGGAGAAGTTGTCCTCTCTGCAACCTACCTTATAAACAGAATGTCTTTCCGAATCCACAACTTTAACACACCTCACTCTACTCTCCAAACCTTATACCCTACTAGTCGTATCCTTACATCTATTTCCTTGAAAATATTTGGATGTTCAGCCTTTATCCATAACCACCATCCTCGTTGCAACAAACTTGACTCAAAATCCATAAAATGAAGTTTCCTCAGTTATCCTCCCCAACAAAAGGGGTTTAGATTTTATTCTATACCCCAAATACATAACCATCCAAGACTGCACCTGCAGTAGAGGAAACTACAGTAGCAAATGCAGAGCCAACCGAGACCGCACCTGAAAGAAAGAAGTAGAGTATAGCACAGCTCCAAGGCAAAGTCATGAATCAAACCAAGCTCCAAAAAATGAGTTTTCCTAGGTAATATCGTTTCTAATCTTGAACCTATTGATGACATTGACATTCCTATTACATTAAGAAAAGAGGTGAGGTCTTGCGAATTATGTGTCCTATGAAAAATTGCCACAGGGGTATAGGTCGTTTGTGGCAGCTCTTGACAGCATACATATCCCAAGAAATGTTCAAGAGACACTCTTACAACTTGAATGGGTTGTAGTTGTAATAGAAGAAGTCTAGGCCTTGGTTAAAAATGACACATTGAAAATCACCACCCTACCAAAAGGGAAGAAATCGATTGGATACAAGTGGATATTCTCTATCAAATACAATGTAGATGATAGTATAAATTGATACAAAGCCCTACTGGTGGCAAAAGGGTTTACCCAATCATAAGGAATGGACTACGAAGAAACGTTTGCACAGGTGGTCAAACTCAATTCAATCCAAGTTATATTCTCTTTAACTGCAAATTTAGATTGACCACTTTATCAACTAGACATCAAGAATGTCTTCCTAAATAGTGAACTAGAAGAAAAAGTCTATATGGTCTTAAGCAATCTCCGAGAGCATGGTTTGATAGATTGACTCGGTTTGTGAAAGAAGATGGATTCAACTAATGCCAATCAGATCACACAATGTTTGTCAAATACTCCGTAGAAGGGAAGGTAGTCATGTTCATTATTTATGTTGATGATATCGTTATCACAAGAGACGATTATGATCAACTCAAGCATTTGAAGAGACTTTTAGCCAAATAATTTGAAGTCAAGGACTTGGGCCAGTTCAAATACTTTCTAGGGATGAAAGTTGCTCGGATGAAGGATGATATTTATGTATCACAAAGAAAATATACACTGGACTTACTTCAAAAAATTGACATGCTTGGGTGCAAGGCAGCCAATACTCCCATAGAAACCAAAAAGAGAGGTGAAGAGGAAAGTCCACCAGCTGATAAAGATAGATATCAAAGACTAATTGGGAAGCTAATCTACCTAACTCACACCAGGCCCGACATTGGGTTTGCTGTTAGCTTGGCTAGTCGCTATACATCTAATCAAACTGAGACCAACATGAACATGACAAACAGAATACTCCAATACCTCAAAGGTACACCAGGCCGATGACTCTACTTCAAGAACTTAAACATAGTTATTGAAGTCTATACTGAATCAGATTGGGCAGGATGTCCCTTTGATAGGAAATCAACTACAGGCTATTGTTCCTTTGTATGGGGAAACTTGGTGACTTGGAGAAGCAAGAAGCAACCTGTGGTGGTAAGGAGTAGTACAGAAACTGAATTCAGAGTTATGACTCAAGATATCTATGAAGGAATCTGATTGAAGAGGATATTAGATGAAATCAAAATTCATATTAATTATACCATGAGGATAATGTGTGACAACAAAGCTGCTATAAGCATAGCAAAGAACTCAGTCACCATGATAGGACAAAGCATATGAAAATTGACCGACACTTCATTAAAGAAAAAATTGATCATGATATTATAAGTGTTGTTCATATTCCATCATGCAGACAAACAACAAATATCTTGACAAAGGTTCTTCCAATGAATACATATGAAAAACATTATATTCAATCTAGGTATGATAAATATCTACCACCCAGATTGAGGGAGAGTATTAGAGATCAACACTATCAATTAGAATAATTCAATTATAATAGAATTTAATAATAATATAATCAATTTTATTTTATTATTTATGCACGATTATAGGCAAAATATTTCCGATTTTCAGGGATAAATTAATATATAAATTTATTATCTTGTATTCTATTTATACTTCTTTTGTATTTTTTTTTTCAAAATAAGAATTAGACAACCTATTTTCCACCCCTATTCATGTTTGAGTAATGTTTGAAACATAAAGATTTTGAGAATAAAAGTATTTATTTCTCTTATTTTCATAGAAATTAAACAAGAAGAGGAATGAAAAGGGAAATTAAAGAACATACAAGATAAAAGAAAAATTGATTATTCCTAGAGTTTGACATGTTTTAAAATCAAATCGGTGATAGGAGAAAATGTGATGAAATTAAACTTGAGATATAATATTTTTATAATATAATAAATTTAAAAAAAATATTTTAAAAAATTAATATAAAATATATTAAAAAAATATTTTTTTAATTTTATTTTTATAAATTGATTTAACTTAAAAATTTAACCTATTTATTATTTTATTAATTTTATCCTATTTAACTAATTATTTAAATATAATAGACTGATCTTCAACCTAATTCTAAATTAATTTAGTTCATAAGTTCAATCAGATTTTGAATGGGATTTTGAAAATAATGATGATTGGATGCCGCTGAATCAATAAAAAAAGTCGGTGAATAGATGGAAATTCATTAAGTTATAATACATCGACTAAAATTAGTGGAATAGTAAATCATAATGTGGCACATTGGACCTGGTGTTTATCACGCGACCCAACAAAATACGTGTTCACATTAAATGTTTGATATTATGCCAGGTGGACAAACCATGTTCCATGTTTGTTGCATTCAATGAAATTCAACCTCCAACCAACTACTAACATAACGTGACACCACTTTTTATATCGTCCTAACTCAAACAAAAACATAAATACTTTTTTTTTTTCAAAATTAACATAATTTTTAAGTATTATTCTTTTCTAAAAATAATAATATTTTTCATTTTTAAGTGAAAACTTAAATTTTTTAGTTTATAAATTTATTATTTTCACCGATGGTCAAATTTATATTAAAAATTGAAGATTTTCCTCTAATTTTTTAAAAATATTATATTATAAGTTAAAATGGAGAAAATAATGTACGAAATTAATGATTGAAAAAAAATGAAACATGATGGATGGTAGGTATTATATTTAAAAATTTATTTAAATATAATTTTTATAAGTTTATATTATTTATACATAAAATTTAATAAAAAATAATATAATTATTTTTTAATTTCTTCATTTTTTTCTTTATTTATTTTTTATCATTTTATTTTTTATTTTTTATGTCTTTATTTGATGTTTTTTTCTCTCTCACTTCATGTTAATCTTCAATTAAAAATATTAAATTGAATATTGATAACATGAATATTTTATTATTTAAAAAATATATATTTAAATAATCTAAAAATAATATATTATAATATATTATATTTTAAAAAAATACTATATGATAAAATTGAGATATTATAAATATTATTATTATGTTATAATTATTAAAAAAATATTTATTTTAGAATAATGTTTTTAATAAATAATTTTTTTATATTATTTAATCTAACTAATTATCATAACTCAATCTAATTATAATTATATTAAATTATTAAGTAAAAAATACATTTAACTTATAAATACTTAATATTTTTTAATTAGATAAGTAATTATTTATTATAAAAATAATTTTAAATTAATTATTTATGTTATTATAAATAAAATTATTCATTGTCATAATATTATTATTATAATTTTAAATAATTATTTGATATATTTTTAATTTTAATATTGATTTTAAAATATTGATTTTATAATATTTATTTTAATATATTTTTATTAAATTTTAATATATAGTTTAATTAAAAAAATGAGAGAAAAATAAAAAAATATAAATAAGGAGTGAATGAAAAAAAATTGCGAGAAATAAATATAAAAATATATATAAATAATAACTAAGTTTATTAAAATAAATAATTTAATAAAGATTTTATTTAAATAATTTAAAAAAATATATATGATTAATAGATTAATTCAATACATTACTATCACAATTTATTAATAAGAAGAAAAGTTAAAGTGAGACATGTACATAAAAAAATACAATAATTAATAAAAAAGAGATTGAAAATAAAATAAAATTTTATATAAGATAATTTTTTTAATTTATTCTTTAAATGAAATTTTTTAAAATTAAAAATAAAACTAAATTAACGAAAGAATAATAACTTTTTTCCCCTCTTTTTTAGATAGATAAAGAGACCATTTTGGTGTCTCCTAACCGTGGTTAAATGTGGGTCGCCGCCTCGAACATCCTCTACAGTCCCGGAGTTGCCGTCGGTGCTCCAATTACAAATTCGCCCGTGCAATGTAATTTTTAAATATCAGTTATGAAATTATAATTTTAAAACCTGAATTAAAAGTGAATTATTGTGAGTTAACTGTCATATTTGAAATATAATATAATTTTGAATGGATATCAGACATAATTTATGTTTTATAAGTTTTTTCATAAAATAATTATTTTGCTAAATAAAATAAAATATTTATTATATGCATATATAATTTTTTAATTTAAAAATATTTAATAATTAAAATTTGAAAATTAAATAAACTTAAATATATTTTACTGTATGTAAAATTAATAAAATTTGATTTAAGTAGTAAATGTAAGACAATGCAGTGGTAGTGATTGATGAGAGAGAGAGAATGACGTTCATGTAATCCACTTATTCTTCCTTATCCTTTGTTCCTTCTTCTATATAAACCCACACCCTGCAACTCTCACACTCATCAACTCAACCAACTACTGAATCAAGTTCTCCCAAACCCTAAACCAACTCCCATTTCTTGTATTGAGTTGTTTCCATGGCAAGCCTCAAGTTTGCGTGCGTGGTTGCCGTGCTGTGCTTGGTGGTGGTGACTGCACCCACGGCACGTGCGATCACGTGCGGGCAGGTCACCGGTTCCCTCAGTCAATGTATTACTTTCCTGATAAAGGGTGGGGCGGTGCCGGGGCAATGCTGCGCCGGAGTGAAGTCCCTGGTTGCGGCCGCTAGGACCACCCAGGACCGCCAGACAGCGTGCAACTGCCTGAAAAGTGCCGCCGGTAAAATCACTGGGTTCAATGCCAACAACGCAGCCGCTCTCCCGGGCAAATGTGGCGTCAACATCCCCTACAAGATCAGCACCTCCACCAACTGTGCTAGGTAAGAGAATCAAAATATGATTGTTCAAATTATTATATATTCTATTTACACCATAAGAGTTGAAGAATGAATTTTTTTCAAAACAAAATGAAAATGTTTTTAAAAATATTATATACATGATAGATAGTAAGGCTATAAATATTGAAAAGTCAATATTAAAAGTGAAAATGATTGTTTTAATTTGTAAAATCACATCTTTAACAATGTTTTGTCGTTTAAATTTCTATTAAACATTATTGTTTGAATAGTTAAATTTCAATCTGCTATGAAAATAAGCTGTGTGTGTGAACTGAGATTAACTAATCACTGATACACAGTTACCTCAGCTCACAAAATGCAAACTACATGAATGAGATATGAAGTTAACTACTGTGACTTGAGAGTGTTCATTATCATGATTTATTTGTTGGTTACACTTGCAGCATCAAGTTTTGAAGTGGAGACAGAGACTGAGGGCAGAGGAAACTACTCACTATAGTATGAGTATATATCCTTATATTAGTATCCAGAATAAGACAGAAGGTGATGAGGACTCCACTACATGCCCCTCTCCTCTTGTATGAGACATTTTATTGTATTAAGGTTTTTAATTATGTTGCAATGTTATTTCCTTGTGTATTTAATATTGTGTTTCTCCCTACTTTGTCTCTTTGCTCTCTTTTAAGGTTCATCATCATTCATCACGTCTCAATTAAGGTTATATGTCAATAAAACCAAACCTACTCTATTCGTAATGTATAATTGATTGGGTTAATTTTAATTTGTTAATGATATATAAAACACTTTTTACATTACAAATTAATTATAAATGATAATAATTTAAACGATTATTTGAAGTTTATTTATTATTAATTCAGCATGATTGTGTATAAGTAAATGATTCTTTACTTTGGTCTCTATTCTTTTATAAAACTAATTATTATTTATCTAAATATAAAAATATATCAGTATAAAATTAAAAGGGACTTTTAGTCATCAGAATATTTATTCAATCAACGAAGAAGCTAAATAAAAATATTAAATAAAATGAAATCAATTTTTCGCAGCCTAAAAATATGTTTTTCTAAGTAATGAAAGACAAGTAATTAAAAATGTTTTCTTCTGATTTATCCATTAATGGGGATCACATTTTTGAGTTAAAATCCGTCTTCATCCTAAAAAAATAAAGAAATTAAAATAAGTCCTAAATGCTATTCTGTTAGAAATGTTTCTCTTTCTAACATTTAATGGTGATAAGGTGGTTAAAGGTCTTTCTCTATATTCGTCAAACATATTATCAATCAATAGTTCAAAGTATTAATTGCATACATATCTTGCTAATTTAAACACTTCCGATGTTGTTTAAATTTAAAAATATTAGTCTCTTCCAAATTTATCAGAGATCAACAAATTTTTAAGTAAATTAAAAAAATGATAAATATATTATTCATTAAAATATTTTTACTTTCTTAGTAACTGCGTATTTTTATTTGCTATAAATATTATATAAAATAATTAATATTTATTTAACCTGAAAACTAATTTTAATTTTTTAAGTTAAATTGTGGTTATTTTTCTCATTCTTCTTAATATTTTAACATAAATAATTTAGTTATTAATTTAATTATATATTAAGAGGTAATAATTTTTATTATAAATATATATTAATGTATAAATATATATTAAATTTACAATTACATTACTTTCATACTAGAATAAAAAAAATCTCTAAAACTGGTTAATATTTTTTTCTTGGTTGATTTTATAATGACATTTTTTTCCCAACTAATTCCTGATGATTGCAGAGAAATGTTTTGAACAATTGGTACTTTTTTTATTTAAGTTGATATTTTTAAAACACATATGAAAAATAGAGAAGTGAAAAGAAAAATAGAGCAGTGAGAATAAACAAAATATAAAATAATATGAAAATAATATAAAAAATCATATTTTATATTTTATCAATATATTTTCATTTTATTTTATATTAGAAATATTTAAATTGATTGACAATTTGATACTCTTCTATTTAAGTTTATATTTTTAAAACACAAAAGATAAAAATAGGAAAATAAGAATAAATAATATGTAAAAAATATCATCTCAAAATAATATATAAAAATTACCTCTTATATTTTATTAACATATTTTTCCTTTATTTTATACGAGAAATATTTAAATTAATTTTTTAATAAATAATTATGATAAATAAGTTCAAAATTATTCATTATTTAGTATGAATCTTAACCACTAACTACAATATCATCAATCTTTTTAAAAAATATTATTAATTAAGAAAAAAATTAAAATTATTAAATAATATAAATATAATTTAATAAAAAAATCATTAGATAATAAGAGATAAGCAAATATAAAATAGAACTAGTAAAATTAAATAAATAAATAAAAAATAGTAGTATAGTTAAAGATAAAATAAATAAATATAAAAAAAAACTAATATATACCTAAATGAAATAAATAAATATAAAATAACAAAGAGATAAATACATTACCGAGATAAATAAAAAGAATCATACTAAAATAAATATAAATGAGTAAATGTAATTCAACAGTTGTATTTACACACATCACTCAAAATAGGACAAGTCATTATATTTGTTATAATCTCACACTGCAATCATTATTTCTCTTTTAATTTATGTTTTGTAATTATTTTTGTACATGTAAATTAAAAATATTTTTTTTAATTATATTTCAAAATAATTTAAAATATATTAACTAATTTATTTTGAATAATAATATAATTAAGTTTCTATCTAAATAAAATATATTCTTCTATATATTTAAAATATTTTAAACAAAGATAACTAATTTACAAGTTATAAATAATTTATTTAGTTAATTAGATAAATATTTTTTTTATGATAAACTTAGTAAAATTTAATATTTTTACTAAATAAATAACTTTAATTATTTTCATATTTAATATACTACTAGGTCGAAGTTCACATAATTAATATTTTTCATATCAATCAATAATTGTCAACATTAATATTATTTATAATTTTTAAAATATTTAACCTAATTTAAAATAATTTAAATATAAAATATGTATTTTATTTAGATTTAAACTAAATTATATTATTATTTAAAATAAATCTTCAAATATATTTTAAATTATTTTGAAGTATAATTTTTTCAAAAATTTAATTAGTTTTTTTTTATTTTATTTTGGATAACTTGTAAGGAAATATTTAAAGAGAGACAGAAAATAAGTGTAGCTAAGAGAAAACTATTTATAATAATGAAAGAGAGATAAAAAAAAAACAAGAGAAAGAAAAAAAATATCAATGGAATATAATGAGTTATCAAATTTTAAGTGATTATGTGTAAAAATATAACATGTTAGACGAGTGTGGATATCCAAATTTCTCTAAAACCACTTAATGAGCAATTATAATTGTAAAATAAATAAGTAAAATAAAATTAGAAACATTTCATTATATAATCATAATTATAAAAAAAATATTTCCTTTCTTATCTTAATAATTATAAATAATACATCAAAATTTGAATGAAAATACTGATGTATATTTTTTCTTTTCTTTATCTTCACTCTCATCTTTTTCTTTCTCTCGTCTTTACTCTCTCTCTTTATTTTTATTTTTATTTTTATTTTTCTCTTTCTCATTCTCTTTTCCTCCCTTTATCTTCTTCTCTTCCTCACCTCCATTATTCTCCCTCCCTCTTCTTACTTCTCTTTCTACCCGTAACCTCACCTATTTATACTCACCTTGATTTTACTTTTTTTTTTCTAAAACAATAATTATATGTTTATGTCTTCCTTTAAAAAAAAAGTCTCTTAGTCTTACTTTTTTAATTAATTATTTTTTGTATTTTTATAATAATAATATTTAAAATAAAAAAAAATGAACGAGTGTTTTGTTATAAAAGTATTTAAATTATCTAGAAATATTATAATATAATACATTATATTTGAAAAATTTATATAATAAAATTTCAAATTGTTATTTATGTATCACAATGACATCATAGATATGCTAAAAAAACAATACATTAATGATAATCCTTTAATTATTATATTGGATGTCAATAGGGTCATAAGTACATATCTACCTAGTAGAAGTATCGCGAGACTTTATTGTATTTTACAAGAAGAGAAATGTCTCATTATATATACACATATTTAATGTGTTAGAGATTGCATCAATAAATCTAAAGTTTAACATAACCATTGCTCAGTTTGTGGATTATAGAAGTTATTTAAACTTAGGTTGTTAATAATTTGTTAGTTAAATGGTTGATTAATCATTGTCACTTGTTGTATATATATATGTATTTATATTATGCGTGAATGAGAGAAAACATGAGGTCTATGAATTTTTGAACCCTCAACTCCTTCATCCAACACGCAATAAAAAAACCAGGAAATAAAAACATATATCACCAACACATTTTTGTTAGAAAAAAAAAAACTTATTTTGCACCATATGTTTACGGGTAAGTACATTATATTTGTAAGAAATATTTTATTTTTTATGCAATTACGATTTTAATTACTTTGTATATGTTTAAATTTAGTCATCATTGAAAATTGCTTCTAATATCCATGGTTAATAACAAATTGCATGAATTTGTTCATTGCATAAAAAATTGTCTAAGTTCATTAGTGAAAAAAACTGGTTCTTTTCAAATGTAATTACATTGCACTTAAATTATTATGTTTTAACTAAGTTTTCATGTTATTAGTACTTTTATTAGATATAACATAATGAGTGGTAGGTTAACTAGATGACTACAAAAACTCATGTGATTTCTGTTGAAGGTATATCACTACAAGAAAAATGACATTTAGCCACCGAAATTAGCGACCGAATTTTTTCGGTCGCAAATAGCGACTGATTTAGCGACCGATTTAATTTTGGTCGCAAATAGCAACCGATTTAGCGACCACTTTAATTCGGTCGCAATTAGCGACCGATTCAGCGACCACTTTAATTCGGTCGCAATTAGCGACCGATTTAGCGACCAAAATATGAATTG